GTACTGATGATAGTGATGGTGGTGGTACTGATGATAGTGATGGTGGTCATACCGATGATAGTGATGGTGGTCGTACTGATGATAGTGATGGTGGTCGTACTGATGATGAGGACGATGGTAGTGATGATGATTCAAGTTGATGGGTTTAATATAAATATAGAAAATTGGATGGTGGCTCAAACCTTTAATCCCAGCACTCTGGAAACAGAGGCAGAAGGATCTCTGAGTTCGAGACCAGCCTAGTCTACAGAGGGAGTTCCAGGACATCCAGAGCTACACAGAAAAGCCCTGTGTCAAAAAAATTTTTTTAAAAGATATCTTTATTTATTATATATACACACACCAGAAGAGGGCATCAGATCCCATTGTAGATGGTTATGAACCACCATGTGGTTGCTGGGGATTGAACTCGGGACCTCTGGAAGAGCAACAGTGCTCTTAAACTCTCAGCCATCAATCCAGCTCTCAAAAAAAAAAAAAAAGATTTAAGAGTGTGTGTGTGTGTGTGTGTGTAGAAGAAAGCGAGGTCACCTAACTCAAAAAGGACAGGTGTAAAAGTCATAGAGAATATAATATATAAGTACGGGTGTCATGTGCTACTCTCTAGTAAAATTTAATTAGCTTTTCTGGGATATGATTATGTTTAATTTTAGGGGCTATTAGTTATCTGTTACTACATAACAAATCACCCTAAACTTTAGTAGCATAAATAAATCATCAAACCTTATGTCATAGCTCTTGTCACTCAAGAGCCTGGGCTAGGAGCTGGGTAGATCTCATGCTGGAGTGCTTGCCTAGCATACATGAGGCTCAAGTTCAATGCCCAGTACCATACAGATCAGGTGTGGTGGTGCTCACCTGTAATCCCAACACTCCAGAGGATCAGAATTTCAAGGTCAGCCTCAGCTACTTAGCCAGCTTGTAGACCGCCTGGGCTACTTGAGACCTTTTCTTAAAGACAAAACAAACAAAAACCCAACTCAGGCAGAGCTCTGGTGTGCTCTGTGGTTCTGGCTGGGCTGACGTTACCCTCCAGGAGTCCTGCTCCGGAGCAACTGGAAACTCCTCTGTTTAGATGCCATCTAAGGTCCTTATCTCTTGCCCTGGCCAAAATCTATATGAAATGCTGAAGAGATGGCTCAGCGGATGAGTGTCCTCACAGTAGTAGCACAGGGTTCAAATCCCAGCACTTGTATAAAAACCACGCATGGCTGCAGGAGCCTGCAACCTCTGTACTGGGGGGCTCCTTGACAGTGGTCATCAGATTCTCAAGGAGGTGGGTGACATTCACCCTCCTCCTCTGGGTTTCACATGCACCAGTACACACACACACACACACACACACACACACACACACACACACACACACACTGATGAATTTTTCAAAGAATAAATGAAAAAGAACATTGTTGAAGTTATTCATGAATTCAACGAGTATGTATTAAACATGTTCTCCGTGCCCAGACACTGTTTCCAAGCGTTAAGGACAGAGCAGAAACCCAGTTGATCCCATCTGCATCCTGGGGGTCCCTTGGGCCTCTTTATAGCCATCACTCTACTGCTTGCTGTTCTGAAATTATCTGTGAAGGTGTCGGGTTCTTCAGAAAACAAATGGAAGTGAGAAGCAGCTTGCATTTGTTTGCAGAGGGTAAGAAAAAGGTTTTCAAAGTGCAAGTGTGTGCACACACACAGAGCCACCTCTCAGATGACTGTGCAAGTGTGTGCACACACACAGCCCCACCTCTCAGATGACTGTGCAAGTGTGTGCACACACACAGCCCCACCTCTCAGATGACTCTTTTCATTGGGCAACACTATCAGTTCCATCAGAAAAGCCTCCCCCCAAATGCATTTATTTACTCGTGTGTGTGTGTGTGTGTGTGTGTGTGTGTGTGTGTGTGAACACTTGTATATCATGGTGTCTGTGAAGCGGGGAGCTTGGTGGGGTCCATTCTCTCTCTCCTTCTACCATGTAAGCCCCGAGGATCAAAGTGAAGTTGTCAGACTTGGCACTTACCCACTGAGCTCTCTTGCCTGTCCAGGGCCTGTGCTCTTGGCACAAGAAAACATGCTTAACCATCTCAGTGCCAAGGCTCCACTCTGGAGGAAGTTAGCAGGGCTCCCCACACCATGGTGTCAGGATTACTTACAGCATCATCAGGGAGCTTGAGAATGTAGCCCGTGGCCAAGCCTCATCCCCAGAGACTGGAACAGAGTGCTGGGGCTGGGTATCAGCAACAGGTCCTCACCTCAGCACAGTTTTGCTGCTAGGGTTTCAGTCAGCCATCATCAAATGACATGCAAAAACACTCAGTGGAAAATCCCACAGACCATGTCCACAGGACCCGGAGGGCAGTCTAGAGATGTAAGTATTCTAGTTTATTAGTAGCTGGTGTTCATCTCTTACGCTGCTGTGTTTCTAAGTTGAACTCTATCACTGGTGTGAATAGGAAAGAAAATACAGAGGTGGTACTGTGATCTTTTTGGGGCATCCACTGGGCCTCTCTGCCTGTCTCCTGACCAACGAAGGGGTCTACTGTATATATAAAGATATTATAAAGTACTCTCAGATATTTCTAATGCTTAGCTAGGGTGCAGTCACAGCTGAGAGTAGGAACTACAGCTGGCTGGCCTTTTACCTAAAGGACTTCGGCTGGAACAGTAGCAGAAAGGCAGATGCGTGGATTTTGATCTAGGTAAATCCAGAACAGGTCCCATGCCCAGTTCTCCCCCATGCAGCTCCTCAGGTTCCTGACTTGCTTTCTCTGCTGTCTTGGAAAGAGTGTTCTTGCCTCCAGCCAAAGATCTGAATTCCCGCCCAGCCCCATGTTTCCAAACACTTTTCAGCGAAGTCAGGTTGATCTGCAATTTAAGTATTTGCTGATACTCCCAAGGGAAACCTGTTATTAGCCTCGGGGCTGGGTGCTCTGAACAATTTCTTTTCGTGGCAGGAGACTGTGTCTGCCCTGCAGTCAGGTGAATTTTTTTTTTTCAGCTGAGGTTTAAAAAGAAAAAAAGAAATGGGAAGATCGCTTTCCCAACCTCAAAACACGTGGTTCAGGACCTTTCTGGAAAATCTGCAGGAGGAGGGGGTGTGCGTTGGCCACCGAAGTGATTGGGAGAGGGGAGGAGGAGGAGGAACGGCACAGAGAAGGAAGAAGAGGAAGGAATTGATGGAAGAAGGAAAAATTAGGAGAGGCAGGGGAGAGAGGAAGAGAATCAGAAAGAAAAGAAAGGGAGGAAGGAGAGGGGAGGAATGAAGGGACTCGATTTAATAGTCACAAACTTAGAAATAGAACTCGGTTGCCATTCACCAACTCTACATCTCTGTGTAGCAAAGGGGTGGGGAAGCTACGGGAACTGAAAACAGAGGCCCAGTTGTCTGTGTCCCTGTGTTCCCAGCAGCGCTGCAAACACCTGGAAGGGGAACTGCCCGGTGTCCAGTGATGGACAGAGGGCAAAGAGAATCTGGCCTATCCAGACCAAGAAATGTCCAGTAAAAGGAAACTCGTCAGATGCCGGCTACAACATGAAGTTTGAAATTGTGTGCTGTGGAATGAGCCAGTCAGAAAAGGAACAAGCAAAATGGGGAGCAGTCAAAATCTATGAGAATGGGGTCTCTGGGCTTGACAGCAGGGTGCACAGGGAGCTGCTTTTAATGGTGGGAAATTTCACTTTGGGAAGACGACAA